TCCCAGAATTCTGGGAGTTGAAGCCCACACATCTTAAAGTTGCCAAGGTTGAGAAACACTGCTATAGACTATACTGGAAAGTCAGAACACATCTTGGAGAAAGGTAACAACAAACTGTTATCATACCATTGTTATGAAAACGACATGGATATGTTCATGAAATTAGCTGGAGTCAAGAGCAACTTAAAGGACACTTAATTTCTATAGCATTCATACTGTAATACTTCCATAAAGTGCAGTGCTTGAAATCAAATCTACATTAGACAAACATTGCCAAATAACATTACCATTGTTTCGATGATGATGGTCAGATTGCCTAGCCCATCAGTCAGAGCCACAAAGCTTCCACCTTTTTCCAGATGCCCATCTACTCTCAGGTAATACCAGCCTGGTTGTGTGAACTGTGTTGTGTGTGCTGTATCAAAACAAGAAAGAGTAGTGAAATCCTCTTTGATGTGGGGGGGAAGATACCCTTCCCTAAAGGGAGGAATTCTCAAAAGTTAAAGCAGAAGAGGGCGGGCACTCATCCACACAGAAGGCAATGGCAAAGGATTCCCCTACGCAACAGCTATCGCTTCACATTTCCAGGAACAGAATAAGAAAAGGCCGATAGAATAATTCTCTATTCTCATGACAAATTCATTCTTCAGATGTGGATTCTGATGCACTCAAAATGGGGAAACTCAAGAGAAGGCTAAAATCAGAGAGTGGGAGATCATTCCAGAACTCAACAATGACAGGAACATGCTCGATGAGCACCTAACGTGCTGAGGAATGGTAGAAGGAAGAAAACGGTGAGCAAGTGAGAATCAGATGGAAGAGGGCATGAGGGACCAGTTTGGACCTTGGACACAATCAGCAAGATTATAATATTCTGCTGGTTGCAGGTCCTACTTATCTAATCTAAAAGTAACCCCTAAGCTAAATGTATATGCACACAACCAGCTGTTGTCCTGACAAAGAAAAAAATGGTTTCAGCACAGATCAAGGGAAGAGTGAGATAAAGTCAACACAAAATGGCATAAAGAAAGAAAACAGCTCAATTGTCCTGCAAGTAAGCAATCATTTGCAGGCTCATCTTCCTTTGGCTGCAGTGCCCACACATAGTTACAACTCAAACAAAGGTACGGGGTAACTTCCTACAATACTGAGTAGTGATGGGTACAAGGAAGGCAAAGGGGTATGGATGTAATTCAGAAGAGCTCCTTCATAATGTGCAGGATCATGGATGCAGCACCAGACTGTGACTCAATAAAACTGCCATAGTTTAGACCAATGGTTCCCAGCCTGTGCTCTCCAGCTATTTTGATTGTATTTCCTATAAATCCCAGACAGATCACAGGTTATGTAAACTGGGAGGCTTCAGGCTAGGAAAGATCAATCCTGATTATCAACCATCTGAAAGAAAAAGTATTTTGAATGATTAAGCAGTGCAGTAAGAATAGCATTATGCTCTCATACAACTCACACTTTTTTCATAACGTCATGAGAGCTTCTAAAATGTATGCATTGAATCAGTACATCTATAGTTTGAATTCAAACCTGGCTGACCCAGAAATCCGTACACGGGGAACAGAGTGAGCGTACTATCTAAATCTTGACCAGACAAAATGTCTGAAATCTTTTCAAATTGACAGTAGTCCTAAGAAGCTACCCAGCATGCAAAATCCTGCACATATGTTGAAACAAACTGTTTTACTTCACACACACTCTCTTATAATTCTTAGCAGGAACTGTTTATTATTCATTTACAAAGATTTGTATTCTGCTCTGCTCCAACAAGTATTACAATCCAAAACAACAGATATTCAATATGCTACAGCAGTTGCATAATAATAACATTTTAAGCAGCAGCTCAACATGCATTTAATAACTGGAAAAGTTGATGTCTAAATAAAAATGTACCTGTGACCCATATGGGAGAATTCACAGTGTAATGCCCACTCCACGGTTCTTGTGCTGTCATTAAACCACACCTTCCAAAAGGCATTTCTTCATAGTAACTAGCCACCAAATTCCAAGCAATAGTACTAGGAACAGGGGATAAGAAAGAGGGAGGAAAATTATTAATTATATGCCACTATTCATAATCCAAAGTCTTCAGAGTCAGTTTACAGGAAACAGCAGCAATCATTAATAAAATCTAGATGGATGGATGGATGGATGGATGGATGGATGGATGGATGGATGGATGGATGGATGGATAGTTGCCAAAGTTGGGAATGCTGACACAGACTAAGCTTGGAGTGGCATTTATCTGCCTGCCTTTCACTTTCTTTTGCGACTCTCAGTTGATGGCAATGGCGCAAAAAATGGAAGGGGAAGAAGCTTCAGAGATGTTTATACAAATAAATGGTCTAGCAAAAATCAACCTATTTAAATTCAGCACAACAGCTACTATATATAGATCAATCAGGCACAACATGAGTATTTCTCAAGTCATATATTAAGAAATATTCTTACAGGGGGAAACCGAGCATATCTGCAGAATAAATGCCTTGTTATGGTCATTTCAGCTTTAGAAAAAAATTAGTTGGTCCGAGTTTCATGCATATTGTGATTTCATCTGTCAAAAATATTGACCCAATTGCCACTATCAAAAGAGTTAAGCAAGGCTTTCACAATATTATAGACACGCATGTATATTGTCATAAAATACACTTTTATATCACCAGACATGCCGACACATACGCAGTCATGTTCCCATTTACATAATTTTGGTTCAGGATTCGAGCCCAGCAACCAGCACCCACTTCATTGTTGAAAGTGCTGTAGTCTTCGGAAGCCCAGAGTTTCTTTAGAGTTAATTGGGCAGTTTTCACTGTTGTTGTCCCTGGGTAGTGAGCCCTAGACAGAAAAAAAAGTATTTATTTTAACTCCAATGTATATGCATTTAATTAAATAACATTCTAGAAAAGTATGTAAGGTGTGGTGTCCTTTCTAATAGTGGTATTCTTCAAGGCTTCAGCTTTTGATGACTATATGGATAAATGTGCACTGTCTCAACTTGTTTTAAATAATATCTCATAGCATTTCCAAGGACACTCCAGCAATCTTTTTGTTCTCATCTATTCCCCTTAGCTTTTACATTTACAGCAATAGTAAATCCATGACATAGAAAACAAAACAGTTCATCCATGAATTCAGGAATAACACTTACAGGCTACCATTTACAATAAAAATGCTCAGCATTTATATAGCCTTTTAAAACTCAGAAATGAAAAATCCTGAAGGGTAAATCAGTATGATCCCTGGACTGCAGTTGGCAAGTCTTAGCCTCAGTTTTCCTTGTGGCTGTCTAGTGAGATCAAAGTAAGGACACAATTTAAAATAAAGTGTCTGGGATTCCATTTATTTACCAACATGCCAGCATTCTCTTATTATTACAGAACAGAATTCAGAGATCTAAATGTCTATGGTCACAGCGCTTTTGATTTACAGTATGTATCTTAAAACAGGAGTCTAGATTCCTTTTGAAATGCAGAGATGCAAAATAAGTTAAACCTCTATCTACATTTAAGAACTAGTATCTTCTAAAGTCTAAAACTTGGCACAAAAATCTCTACTATGGACAGTCTTGCCAGTCTAACCCAAATCCTTCTCATAAAACACATAAGAAACCTAATATTGACCTCTTAAAAAGTTTGAGTACTCTCTGATTATGTTTAAAATACTGAAGCTCAACTCTTAAAAAAAATTGAGATGAAACAAACATTAGAGATAACCATGACTGAGGCTTTCTGTTGGTTCATAGGATTTGACAGAAAAATTAGAGCAAAACACCACCTTAGAATTTTCTTCCTTTTTTCAACAAGCACACAATTATTTTAATTTTCCAGCCATTTTCCTCAACAAGACTGTTTACCACTATGCAAGCGAAGGTCATCTCCTGTCCCCCTTGTTTCTGCTGCCTGCTTAATGACTTAAGATTTAAAAGACCTTGCAGCTTAATTTTTTTTTCTGTACTCCTGAATAAGATTTATTTATTAATCAAATTTATAGGGCCGCCCATCTCATGGATATATGTTTGTACGCTATAAGACTCTCTAATATGTACATGCCTATGGGTATATCTAATTATTCTACCCTCTGCCGTCTACTATCTAGAATTAATAGAAGGCTTAAAGATACTGGCCAGCAGTTTTCCTTTGTCAGTCAAGCTGGCAGCTCTTTTTTTTTCCTCAGGCTGGTAAAACTTTTTTCTTCCATCATCTTCAGCCTCCATCAGATATCATCTGTGAAAGGCAGATCCTCCTCCTCCTCCTCAGGTCTTTGTAGGTCTTCCCTGGACTTGCCCTCCCATGCTTCAGGAGGCTTCAAACTCCCCTCAAACCAACATGCCAGAAACAACAAAGCTTTAGCAGTGTAACACTGCCTAGCCCATTTTAGGATTATCAGACATCGATGTGGTTTTCTAAAACCAATAACCAATCTTCAACAGCCAGAGCTGTCTACTGCCATCTTAAATGCCAGCCATTACACATCCCCATAAAGTTCTCTCCCAGATCTCCTTCCCAGAGTTCATCTGGTGACTTTTAAACTTTCACTTCTAATGCCAGCAGAATAGCCCTCCTTTTTTCTGGGAGGGGAAACTAAATGATCCCTATTCTTATCCAATAGCTAGAAAAAGCACTTGCTTGGTTCATATAGATATGTGAACAGCAAGCAGGAAGCCTTGTCTGAATACAAACTATCAAGATAACCATGTACAAACGACAGGGAAAGCAACTTTTACTCACTGAAGAGCCACTGAATCATTAGCATATGATTTGGGCTGAAACTATATAACTGAAATGACATCTCCCATACAATCTAGGCAACTTGGCCCATAATTGCTGATTACAGAAGATGTAGTCCAAATATTTGGGAGACCTAAAGTTGCCCATCCTTGCTATATGGCAAGAAATCTGTTTCTATCAAAAATAAATTACCTGATCTGAGAAAACTCTTTCCCCCACCACTCAATGTATAACTGTGACCACCACCTTCTACAAATTTACCATCCAACAATGAAACCATTTGGGGAAGAGGTAATTTTGAGTGAAAATAATAGGCAGAAAAATGTTTCCCATTCTCTCCTCCAATTCCCTCTTCCAATATCTCACATAAGTTAAATCTCATGAATATAGGTAGTCCTTGCTTAACATCCATTCATTCAGTGATTGTTCGAAGTTATGATGGGGCTGAATGAAGGGACTTAATGACCAGTCCTCAATGCTCTGGCCGTCGCGCACCCTTGAACATGTACAAAATTCAGGCACTTGGCAACCAGCTCGCACTTATAGCCAGTTGCAGCATCCCACATGTGATCGCCATTTGTGACCTTCCCTGCCAGCTTCCCACAAGCAAAGTCAATGGGGAAGCCAGCAGGGAAAGTCACAAGTCACTCAGGTAAGTCTCTCCCATTCCTCTGGTCTTTCTTCACTCACACACACACTGCCCTCCATCCCTTCATTTGCATGCACCACACCCTCCTTCCTCTCTTTGCTCACACACAACACACTCTCCTTCCCCCCTTTGCTTGCACACACTGTGCCCTCCTTCCCCGTCCTTCCTGTGCTCACACCACTCTGCAGCTCTCCCCAATCCACAGCACCCCCCCAACTCACACGTGGCCTGCACCCCCCCCTGCACGCTTTACCTGAGACTCCCGCTGCTTCCCGCTTAATGACCTGCGGGGTTACAGACAGCAACCGGGACTGCCTGGATTGCTGTCACTAAGCGATGCGGTCATGTGACATCATGCTTTACAACCACATTGCTTAGCAATGGCAATCCCAGTCCCAACTGCCATCATAACTCAAGGACTACCTGTATAAGAATCTCAAGGGAATAAACAGCCTGAATGGTGAAACAGAAGATGGAAAAAGAAAACAAAAGCATTCCCTTGAACTTTGCTATGCAAAATCACCAGTTCCTGCTGGACAAAAAGACAAGAAATCAAACAAAATAATTAATAAATAAATAAATAAATAAATAAATATAAAAGAATGTCAGGGGTGCAGTCATATTTGCACATGTCATTTGACACTTTGAAAGCTCATGAGTCTAAAGATTGCAATGACTTAATATTCCAGAAAGATTTTTTTTTCAAAAATGTGCTGCTTATCAAAAGTAACTGGAAGGGTTTATGAGGAAAGATTCAGCTTTGAAAAGATACCCTACCCTATAATATCGACTGCTTCACGGAGCTCAGAGTCAACAAGCATGTTAAAGGATATTGGTTCCCAGAGGTCATCGCTGGCTATGATCCGCACCCGCTGAAGCTCTTGCTTATCCAAAGTGTATCTTAAAATCTTTTAAAATAAAGAGACAAAAAAGTAGCATTTTCCCCATTTGTAGGAAATATTTAAAAAGCCAAATTGTGCAACTTATTCAGCTGAAGTCTAGCTGCAAAATAGGCATTTTCTCTCGGTATGACATCTGCATAAATGTGAAGTTATAACACCTGTAGCCACATGTTTGCCAAAGGGAAAACCAGAACAAGATGCCACTGTCTTCAGGGAACTGCTTCATTTCTAACAGTTTCAAACATTTCTAACAGTCGACAAAGCTCATAGGAGACATCCATGGACAGGCAGGGGAAACAAAAAAGCAGGCCTCATTCCCCAAATATAACCAAGGAATATCTCCTGCAGCAACATTAAAAAAGTACTTTGTACACAAATACCTGCCTTTTCAGAGGCCAGGATAAGAACATGTAGAAGAACAAACAAATCAGGGCAAGATCTAATGTCCACTCACACAACAGAACGTTTTCCTCCTTTCCTTCCAACTGTGTTCTGCCTGCCCCAAATTTATTCAAGAAATTGCTCCCAACCCACAGAACAGTTGCTAAGGATGCACGGGAGTAGGGTGGAGGGAGAGGAAGAGAAAATAAGTTCTTTTCTCTTCCACTGATCGAAGCAGTACTGTCAATGAAACAAGTTAATTGAACTTCCCCACCAGTATTTAGTTAGCAATGTAACAAACATCTGCAGTGAAATTGCAATGCAGATTACGAAAGGAATATCATTAAAAATCACAGAGCATCTTAATTCTTGTGCACCTATTGACTGAAGACCATGAGCCATCTTTGAATAAACACTGCCAATTCTCTGCAAAGCTTCTGTTGGGTGAGCAGACATTAGATCTTACCCTGATTTGTTTATTCTTCTTCATGTTCTTATCCTGGTATCTGAAAAGGCAGGAATTTGCCTACAAAAGACTTTTTACAGAAGAGACCCAGAATAAGGCTCAAGACATGAGATTATCCACAAGATTGCAATTTGAGCCAACTTTATAGGGTGCGTATAGACTGTGACAAAAGAATCTGAGAGTTGGCTTGATAAACACTGAAATACTGGAATTAAATGAGATATTGTAAAGGTCAAGAAAAGGTACATAATGCTCTAAAAAACAGAGCAGCTAAGATAAGCAGCTAACAGGTGAATTCTAGAAACTTTTAATAGCCTACTGCATTTTGTAACTTTTAGAAAAGAAAATGGCTTCTAAGAGGGAAAAAAAGTATTTTCTCTACATAGTAAAAAGATGCTATAAACCCAATCAATGGTATTTACGAACACTGGCATTCTAAAAATTTGACAAGATTTTTTATATATAATGTGTTTCTCTACTAGTTTAATGTCTGCAATATTCACAAATAGTGAAGTACATCAAATACTGTTTTTTGGTTATGAGGAAGGTAAATGAACACCAAATAAATGTATCTTTCTTAGATGTCCCTCTTATTATCTACTACGGTTTAAACAATAGTTAAAAAGAACAAATCAAATTACACCCTTCATTTCAGCTTACCTGTTAGCCATTTGTTGTTTCTGTTAGTAATAACATGATACTGAACACCAAGGTGTCAAAAATAATGTGGTGCATAGGTTCAGGAAGATGCAAGATCTGAACTCTACAATAATCTTATTCTCATTTTCACATCCAGGGAAAATTTGATACAGTACAGCAGTCAGTTAAGCACTGACAAGCTTGGTGGTAAAAATTTAAACTATCAATGTCTCTCTGTTTACTTACTTCAGAATAATTATTTTGAAGTTCTAAAGTGATACTGCAACAGAGATTCACCCATTTCTTCTCAGATATAAACTTAGTAGCAAATGGTGGTCTTGATGGAAGCCAAGATGAAAAGGTTGCTACTCACTTTCCTCAAATGCAATGTCAACGGAGGGCACTGCATTTTGGGTGATTAGAAGATAGTCACCCTGCCATCTAGAAGCAGTGATGTCTGCCCAATGAATGGGGGAACAATTGTCAGACACAATAATTCTAACAGCTACAAATAGCAATGATAGTAATGCCACTTGGGAGTTTGATCATGACAGAGGTGGTGTCAGCTTCAGCAACTGCCTAGACATTGATCTGATAAGACTTCTTATACATTCTGCTTTGGAGGAGAGGGAAAGAAGAAACAGTATAAAATAGTTCATCCTTCTCTTTACCTTCTCTTCAGGGTAGGTAGCTAGGTAATTATTATTAGATTTTTATCCTCCCTTTTTTATATATATTTGGACAATTCAAGGTGGAGAACATACCTAATACTCCTGCCCCCTATTTTCCCCATATCAACAAGCCTGTGAGGTGAGTTGGGTTGAGAGAGAAACTGGTCCATAGTCACCCAGCCAGCTTTCATGCCTAAAGGAGACCTAGAGTTCTTCTGGTTTCTAGGCCAGCATCTTAACTATTACACCAAGATAGATAGATAGAAATAGATAGATGATAGATAATAGATACACATGTGCACGTGCACACACACATGCTTTTTGGCTTTATGAGGCTCACTCAGAAATATCTGCTACATTGCTGAGCTAGAAAGCATCTAGATCAGGCAAGCCATGGTACAATAGCTGGCATCCAAAACTGATTCTATATATCTTTACCCTGATCCTTGTTTAATCCCAAAAAATCATGAGCTTTCCATTAAGACTTGTCTTGGATCAGATAAGCCTCAATAGAATGCAGCAGCTGACATTTATCTTACTAAATTCAAGGTAGTCAAATCACTACAATGTCTTTACAGTATAGTTTGCTCCCAAGAGAACTTCAGTAAAGCATCTAATCGAATACATTTATTTTTCCTACTCCTGTCATCATTAATGTCCTCCCAGATGATCTCTGGCAGAAAAAGCATTAGGAGGGACACTAAATAAGATGAGGGTGAAAGTAAGGAAATCTTTTCTTATATAGTAATTTTACTAAAAAATTACAATTAAAAAGATAAAAACTAATACAAACTAAAAAAGAAAAG